TCACGTGACGTGTCGTGACGTATCGCAACTCTTTTTGCATTACCGACAATGGGATGGCCGCGGCTTTGGTATGATGAAACCGGCCCATGGGCCAGCAGTTTGACACCTCTGCTCTACTATAATAGTATGTTAATTAATTGTGCAAGTATAAATCTAAAATATTACAACGTATGAAATAAAAATACATATCATCTAAAACAAGGTAACTAATATATAATAATATACTATTAGGTATAATGAGACTAAGAAAAACCAATAGAAATGGTTATTCCTGTGACCAATTACTTGGATTAAAGCACAAGTAATGAAGGGTTGGACCCTGGAATCTTCTGCATTTATTAGATTTGTTATTGGTTTTCTCCAGGAGTTTAAGATGGTTTACATAGGAATCTCCCTTCCTTTTATCCCCACAATATCCCTAAAGCTGAAAGAGAAAAATTGTTTGTGAGTTTCTGCAGCTAAAAAGTGAATTGGAGCCTGCTCTTCGTCCAGCACCTAAATTTTTACATTAAAAGTTGGCGGATCTTTCCCACAGACTGGTGGGTGGAAATGGCTCGGTTGGGAAAGAGGGAAGAGTCCCTCCAAAGTGGCTCCTTGGTCTTTGTGGCCTGCTGCCTTCTTTGCCTTTCTTCTTTCTTTCTTTTCTTTTTTAAATGATTCCCTCTTAAAAAAAAAAAAAAAACCATCACCTTGAAACTGTCAATATTACAGGCTGACATTTTTTGTCTTCCAGCAAAGTCACAGTAGCACCAGCTGGGTTTTATTTAAAACCCCCCACTGCAGCCTTCTTACACAGATTTCATATTATTTATTAGTTTTATGGAATGTACTGTCAGACAAACAACTATAGAAGAGAACAGATCATGGATACTCAAACTGCTTCTCCCGAAATATCTATCAGCAAATAACTAACAGTTTAGTTTTCAGTAAATCCCTTAAGATCTGGTTGTTTCAAGACTGGGGATCCCAGGGAATCAGGGATATTGTCAGGCCTGCCATCTTCAGCTTCTTCGCTTCACTGGCATCCTGCCATAAAATGCAAGGGAGAGGAGATTGGGGAAGTAAAAGTCTTAAAAAATACATATGTACAAACTAAACAGAATTCACATTTGCTGCTTCCAGGAAAGCAATGTATTTCTGAATTTATTAAAACAAAAGATTTTAAGAGCTGAAAGCATGTGTGAAAGAAATAAACCCTCAGATAGAAAAAAAAAGAACCCTACTCTTTGCTTAGAAGACATATATATGAAATCTAAATGTTGTTTAAAATGACCTATCCCACTCACACCAACAACAATACTTGTTACTTATATAGACTTCTCAATGAACCGAGAGCAAAGAAGAAATCTGAGTCCTAAAGTTTCAAAACAAATTAATCCTTTAGGTCAGATAATTGATCCAGCAGAATGTTCTTCTACAAGTTTTCATTTCTGGAAGTTTTATAATATCCTGAAGAAATGAACCTGTATAAAACATACTAAATTACTGTATGTAGTAGTGGTGAATATCTGTAACTCGGATGTAGGATGAGGATGAAGGTTCACCCTCAAATTACTGTACATATACAGCATTTTCTAATAAAACAGGTAACCGTTTTAAATGGCTTTTCAATAGTGTCTTCTTTGTACAAAAATATACACAGATTATTTTTCAATAAATCAAACCAGTATTTTCTACTGGCTATTTAAAACCAGCCATTCCCTATATACACCTCTCAGACTTTGATAAGAGAATAAAAACTGCCTGTCAGAAATTTCTGAATACTACTTCTTTGTTTAGATAGATAGATAACCTTTATTGCCATTTTTTACTGTGGGCACAATGGCACACATTAAAAATGAAATTTAGTTGTTTGCTCTCAAACTGTACACATACATAACACACATTTAAACATACTATATACAACATATGTATAGATTTACACCCTTACATATAAGTAACACATACATATTAATCACTGCCCATCTTGAATACATAACGGAAGGAGGAAGTTTTAGAGTTCACAAGGTTAATATTGTATGGAACAAAACTGGATGTTCTACCACGAAGCCTCCTCCCAGAAGGAAAACAGGTCATGAAGAGAATGTTTAGTGTCCTAGACAATCTTGCAGACCCTGCTCAAGCAGTGCTTGTATGCTATGTCCTGGATGGAAGGGAGGGGACTGCCAATAATCTTTTCAATCATCCTCACCACTCTCTGCACCGCCTTCCTGTCTGAAGCAGTGATGCTTCCAAACCAGACTGTGATGCTGTATGATAAGATGCTCTCAATTGTCCCTCTGTAGAAAGTGATAAGGACAGGGGAGGGAAGATGTGCTTTTCTCATGTGACTCAGAAAATGCAGGTTGTGCCCGCTTCACCAGTGTCTCGCTGATGAGCAACCAAGCCAGCCTACTCGTTAGCTGCACACCCAGGAACTTGATGCTGGTAACCATCTTCACAAGTGAATCATTAATGCACAGAGGAGTGTGGCTGTGCCTGCCTTTTCTGAAATCGACAATGATCTCTTCGGTTTTTCCAATGTTTAAAACTAGACTGTTCTCCTTACACCAGTTCACCAAGTCCTCAACCTCCTTGCGGTAAGCACTGTCATTGTCATCTTGAATAAGGCCCATTACTGTTGTATCAAGGTTTAAATGCTTCTTGCAAGTATTTAACATCCATAGAGATCTGTACTTGTCCACATTGCAAATAATACAATCTCCCTGCTCCATGAATGTATTACTGCATTAAGCATTTGTGAATATAATGAAGTGCTTTCACTACACTCATGCAGTATTATCAGGTTTTATCTGCATATATGCATCCCAAGAAAAAGGTGGCAGTTCTCAAAGGCTTATGCTATAATAAAATGTTGTCACACAATATTACAGTTAAATGATGTAGGAATCAGATGTATAATAGTTACACTGTAGCTAGGTAGATAGATAAATAGACAGAGAGACAGAATCTCCAGAAAGCAGCAATACAATCAACAAAACATGACTATCAACTTGTTAAGAATTATTCAAATGTCTATATTTAAAGTAACAATATGTACCTCCTTCTCCAATTCTGAGCTCCCAAATCTGGATGACCACTATATGGCATCAAATCAGACCATCAGATGGCTGGTTTTAAATGGTCATTTAAACTGCTGTAGCTTTACTTTAAATCCTCTCTGTTTTCAATTATCTTCTACATAAAAGTTACCACATGACACAGAAGACATTTGAAAATGAAGGCTTTCCAGAAACAATTCATTGTATAATAGATATAGTCATGTCACATGCCTCTAGGACAAGTCTTTGAATTAGTGCCACATCACAGATTTTTGATCACTGAATATTCATGGTTACTTCCATTATCTCAGGATCATGACTGAATCCAAAACAAGAGAATATGAAATAACTCTGCAGCATTAGAATTCTTGGTATAATTACACACAAATGGAATACTTCTTACAGAGTATTGCCATACTCATAATATGGTAATATTGTCATTTTTTTTCCTTCTGTTCGGTTGTGTCCAATTTCTGAGGTTTTTCAGATGTGGTTTGCCCTTTTGTCCTTCCTAAGGCTGAAAGAAAATAACTGGGCCAAGGTCACCCAGCTGGCTTTGCCTTGGGTGGGACAAGACCTCATGGTTTCCTGGTTTCTAGCCTGATGCCTGTTAGGGGTGTCAAACTGCCGGCCCATGGGCCAGACGTGTCACCAGGAAACCATGCCCACCCCATTGCCGGCAATGGGAAAAAAGCTCCGATACGTCACGCGATGTCATTTTGACATCGTGAGTTTGACATGTCTGCCTTAACCACTACACCAAACTAGTTCTTAATATGTTAACATTGTACAATGTGGTATGGTAAGGTATGGTATGGTATAGGTATGGAGGGTGTCATAGTACATCAGCAGTTTGATTTATAGTGGGAAAAGTCACAGAGGTATGGGGAGGGGCAAGAGGAGTCAAATAATGAAAGCAATATCACAATGTTATACATACATACAAAAGGGTACAGCAGTGCAACGTGACTTTTAATATTTTAAATTAAAATATTAAATTAAAATATTTAAATTAAATTTTCCAGCAATGGAAAAAAAGTTGCGATACATCGCGACACATCACGTGACATTGAGAGTTTGACACCCCTGTTCTAGAGTGAATTTAAATGTATGTTATTGTTGTTTGTCTTTTATTTATTTTCCCTTTTCCCTTACCCTCTTTTTCTTTTTTTGCACTTATTTTTTCTATTTTTAATATTTTCCTTAATTTATCTTATTTTTATTTCAATTAAAAATATTATGAATGTACATAAAACTGATGCAATCTCTGGAAAAATGTTTTCCTTCCAGCCTTCTCTGTTAAATGAAAAACCATCCTTCCATGCTTGGAAAACACTTTCTGCTAGCAGGAGCAAAGTCTATAATTTTAACATACATCTATTTATATGAATACCTTCTTGATAACACACTTCCTTTAAAGGAACAGCATTCTTCCTAATGTAACCAACCTCTGATTATCTGATTAGGAAGGCAATTATACATATAAGTTATTTTCTCGAATATTATTCCTGCCTTGAAAATATATTCAATATTTTCTATTGATAGCAAGGAAGCAATCAAAACAAAATGAATAGAGAAATAAAAGTTCATGTGACAGCCAGATATAAAACAACAGAGAGCACTGACACAGCAAACAGCATGTAAGATTAAACAGCAGCCACCTATAAATCCAATTACCATTTTCCTGGTAATGCAACTTGTTGTTTCAGAAACCAGAAGATGTCTATCAGAACTTACAATCAAAGTAATGCATTTAATGTTTAAATGTTGAATCACTTTTTTCATCTGACTAAATAATTCTTTCTAACTTTTAAGGGGAGCCTGAGCAAATTTTTAAAAATTAAATTTAATTTTTTTAAAATATTTAAAATACATTTTAAATATTTAAAAAAATTTAAATTTAATTTTTAAATATATTTTAAAATACATTTTAAATATAAAGGTAAAAATCCTACTTACCAAATCATGGTTTGTTGAATTAGAATCATCTTCTGGAAATGGGATGTAAACTGCTAAGGCCACACAATTGGCAAAAATAGCCAGTAATATAAATATGTCAAACGGTCTTAAAGATCTTGTTAAGGAACATTCAGTTATAGACATATAAACATTTGTCATAATACTATTTTGCATTACTTTTTTCATTATATACAAAAAATGTCTTTCTGAAGTTAAAATAGCATGCTCCCATTGTTTGATTTTGTTTTGTGATTGATGAAAGTGACAGCTACCTTCCACAGACAATTATGTTCCCGTGTTAGATTGTCTTTGAGCACTAGGGCCTTTCAGTTTCTTATTACTTCACATCACTTTCATAGTACAGTTTTAAAAAAATAGTGTAGCTTGCATATATATATCTAATCAGTAATGCTTAATCATTATAAAATGTTTTCAAATAATTTTGCTATTCCACGTCTATCCATTGTTACTAGTACTAATTGAACTTGAATACAAGTAACAGAACAATACCAAGCCACAGTTGTCTATATCAAGCTATTCCTACCTAGTTACTCACAAATTTATTGGACTTAAGTGCCCATAGTTCCCATCAAAGAAGAACCAGGAAAAAGGTAGTATAAAGCAAGAATCTCTCTTCTTCATTCCAGCCTACCAAAGATTCAGTCAACAGGATAAGGCTTCAGAATCATTAGACATCAGGTTGTTTCCAATAATAGTGAAATTGCTCTACTATTCTTTCATTTCACCCTCACAACAGCTAATCTATGAAGTAGATTCATCTGAGAAAGAATGAAGAATCCAAACATACTCATGGCTCAGGGTACACTTCAACATGGATCTCCTTGGCCCTAGTTCAACAATTTAATCACTACCCTGTACTTATTTTTGAGATACCAAATACTAAATCAAACTTTTCTATTACTGAGAATGAGCATAGTAGATGCAAAGGTACATCACTTACTATCAGAGGCACCTGCAGGATTCAGCACTTTTGTCAATGACAAAAAAGGCCTTATGCAATCATGATGCAAACTCAGCCCCCACCATACTCCAGAACACATTGACAAAATGATGACAGTGAGCCTCATGGTGTAATTGATATGTAGCTGATACTTTGATCCTTTTCCACATATCTCCTTAAAAAACCTCTGGTTATTACTTTATCCCCCAAAAATCACAACAAACTAATTAGAAGCCAACTCTTCTCTATTATGTATATCAGGGATGTCAAACTCGCAACATCACATGACGTGTCATGACATATCGTGATTTGTTTTCCATTGCCAGCAATAGGATGGGAGCAGTTTTGCCATGATGCATCTGGCCTGTGGGCCGGCAGTTTGACACCCCTGATGTATATTGTTACCTGACTTCAAATTCTTAAAATTAGATCTTCAGATACTTTGAAAATTGCAAAGAGGAATGGATGAATAAATGATGTCATGTGCTTTGTGTCATGTGACATCATCATGGAAATGACCCAGATTGTGATTATGACATACAACCAATAATATGAATTATGCAATCTGGATCGTTTCCATAATGATGTCACAATGCAATGATACCATTTGCTCTTCCATCCATATTTGCAATATTTAGTTAAATATAGAGTGAATTTGGTGGGCATTTGTCCAATAAAACCACTCAGATTTAAAAGGACATGGATTCCATCTAGACAATAATAGAAATGACTGGGTCTTCATCCTGGGAAACCATATGGAATTATTTGAGCCTGCCAATCTTGGGGAAGCAGAGATGACTGTCTATAGTATTATTACCATCAATTTTCATTTGTTTATTGCTCTTTATAGTTGGTTAACATCTCCCATGAAGTGCTAGGAAGTTGGATTTGAGCAGTAATCAATACTTCTTTGAGTGAGGGGTGTTCCTGTCACTTTAAGAAACCTTCATGCAATTTGGGATAATCTTAGTAGCATTCACTGCTACCCTTGCAATCCAGAGAGCATAGAGGTAGCAAATTATATGGATGTTCTGGTTTTCATTCTAATTCTGAAATACTGAGAGTATATTTCGGGGGGGGGGGTCTTTTAGGAGGATGATTCGTTTTATGATCAAATTATTAACCTCCTAGAATCTATGGCAGGAGTCTGCAACCTTGACAACTATGCTGGCTGAGGAATTCTGGGAGCTGAAGTCCACAAGTCTTAAAGTTGTCAAGATTGCAAACCCCTGATCTATGGGATTGGGCAGCATACCATTACATAAATAAGTAAATGCTGATTGTCCTCAAAATATGTCCAGTAAATGCTGTCTCAGTTGAAACAGTATCCAACTATAATATAAAGTTATAGTTGGGTTAAATCCAAAAATTCCATTCCACTGATGGAAATGCTCCTTCTTCTATAGAATTTTTGTATCTAATCCAATTTGTGTACATCAATTTTACATATGCACAAAGTGGTCAGTTTCTAAGGGAGAACAATCTAAGAAAAAGCTACGTCCAATAAGAAAAAAATCACGGATATTTTATGAAAGATGCAAGTCATGCATAAAATTCCACTGAAATCTCAACACTGACTGAATGCATACATTAATTTAAATGAAATTAGAAACATAAATTGTACTATTTACACTTCTTCTATGAAGTAATTACCGCTTATTTAATGGGACTTACTGTCAGGTCATTGGACATAAGAAACATTAGCTTGGAACAGCTGATACTGGGCTGAACTTAATTAGGAAGGGAAGGAAATTTATCATATTTATAACCCACACATTCTAGCAAGTCTACCATGGCAGCAAACAATAAAGATTGAAACAACACTTAAAAAAATCCAAAATTAATTAAATATTTTTTTAAAAAAAATGAGTGGAAATAAGTTTTTAGACTCTTAAAAGAAAGCAGATATGGAGGGCTCTAGACTTTTGTGGGTCATGAACTCCATACTGATGATTCTATCATTGAGAAAGCCATTGTCCTAGTCAAGGGTAACCAGTCAGTACCTGCAATAAACACTTTAAGGACAATATGATTTCAATCTGGCAAAAGATGCTGTCATACTCTGCCAAGGAAAATCAGCACTTCCAATAGCATATTATTTCTTCAAGGAGAAGAAACATCGCCTAGTGCAGCTAAGATATCATCCATACCATCAAATCTTCTGTCTTGCCTTCATTCCACATTTGTCTATTATGGTTGTCCTAATCTGTAATTTGGTCCCAGGCATGAACCCAACAGAGCCTTGGATATGTGATAAAAATGGAAACAGGTAGCCTGCCTGGCACCCAGCCCTACACTTTCTTGCAATCACTTCTAGCAGCTTCATATGGATGTTAAGAAGCATGAGGGATAGAATAAAAACTGTACAATAACACCATCAGCTCCCAAAAGCAGTCACGGATACCAGAGTTGATGGTATGAAAAACTGCCAAAGCCTCCAGGATCAGAAGAAAAGGCATATTACCCTTGTCACACTCTCTCAATACATTATCCATAAAGGTGACTACGCAGTCTCTGTGCTCTACTTAGGCCTGAAATCCAACGGAAATGGGTCCAATAAATCAGTTTCAATCAGACGTGGCTAAAGCTACCCAGCTATCACTTGCTCAGTCCCATTGACCAGAAGTGACAAATTCAGAAATGTCCTGTATTGTCAAAAAGGAATGGTTCTTTCAATAGGAAATATACTCCTATATTTTCTCGCTATTGCACTACCTCCTCACTGAGGGAGACCTTAATCATCAAGCATATTATCTCCCTTGAAAGATCTCACAGCCAGTCTCAGCCAAGGGAGAGAAAGATCTAAAGTATATGAATTGATCAACATCCTGGCCATATCTTCAAAAAGGAAGGCCTTTCTTTGACCACAATTTATTCATGCTAACTTGCAGTTTGCCCAGGTTGATTAATGTTGCTCTTAAAAAACCACTAAAAAGTACTGAATTCCTTCCATCCTAGAGAGTGAGCCCAAGTGTGTCTTTCTGATATGAAGTTCAAGTCCTCAGAGAACTGGAGATAAAACAAGCTCCCAGTGAAAGGATACTTCCATTCTACTATACTAATGCAGGCTCTTCGGAGTGGGTTATTGAGGGATAGACAGAAAAGAGCACGGGCTGGCCGACTATTAGATGTATTACCCTGTTTTTTGCTCTTGGCATATTGCTGACGCTTTCTTTGGGACAGAGATCCTACAGGTTGAGCTGGGGTGGTGCTCATGCCTTGGGCAGCCTTAGCTTGTCTAGCAGCATCAATTGCAGCTTGCCAAGATAGTACAGTTTGCTTGGTAGGTGCTGTGTTGTTTGGCTGGAGTGCTGGGTTGTCACCAGGAAGAGGAATTCTGGTGCTATTTGCATAGCTTGCTTCTGTGGAAAAACAAAAGAGAAGAAGAAAATTAATTTATCTTTTTCTGAAATCATCCAGTTCTTTCAAACTTCTTGAAAAAAACCAGGTTTTGGTGGAAGTTTGAGGCCTTTTCTTTTAAAAAAAAATCAACAGACCCTTTCTACTGAAGTTAAAAGATTCAGGAACAAGCATCTCAGGCATCTGTATCTAATGCTTTGCAAAGCTAAGAAATTTCCCATTTAGATATATCTTTAAGAAGCTGAACATCATCTATTTTAAAAGCGGGGGAAGGGGGAATCTAATTTCTTTCTTCCTTAGAGTGTTAAGTATTCAATGTCTTAGAATCAAAAAGCCAGTCCAACCCACCCTGCTCAAAACAGGAATTCAAATAAAAGCATCTCATTAAAGTGGTCCTCTCTTGCTCTGAATATGAGCAACATTAGATATTCACTGATATGTAATATATCTATTACTATGGAAACTCAAATGAAATAGCCAAAAAGAAATATTCTGCTAAAAACATGGTCTGCAATATTATTTGATATATTTGATTATTAAATGGTACTTCCATAGAAATTAATACAGTTAATAGGGAATAACTTGTTCCACTGATTTCAAAGAGACTACTCCTGCCACCACTGAAATCTGGATTCATTAATCTTGCTTACCCTTTACATATATCAAATATGAGAAATATGAATCCATGCACTTTGATTGGCATTGTTTCTGGTTGCTGCTAATTATTCTTTTTTCAAGTGGAAATGTCTTTTCTTTGGCCTTGGGTTTCTTCCAAAATACAATGTGAATTCAGAATGTGACATAGTCCCTCTATCACATCTCAACTTGAGGAAAGGGATAGGAGCTTGTCTCTTCAAATTGCATTTTGAAGTTTGGCTTTAGGAAGTGTAAATTCAAAAACAAGTGTGAAAGAAGAATCAAGGACATAGGGGAAACAATAACTGAGGTGACTAAGTTAGTAAATCCATCACAGTAAGTTGCAAAATGCCAATTACGAGGGAAATAAACCTCCATTTGGTTATCAGTGACAGACACTCCCAGATTCAGAACTTTTATTATAGACATTAGAAAATTACAACATTACATTACTTTTTGACATAATCGCCATTCAAATTGAGGCACTTATCATAACGTCTTACAAGTTTTGAAATTCCTTAGTAGTAGTTGCTCAGTACCAAATCTGGGCTATGGGGGGTGATCAAAACATCCCAATGGAACTGCTTCAAAAGTTCTTGGGTGAGTCTAGTGGTGTGTGGGCGAGCATTATCTTGAACCAACATCACACCAGAAGTGGTACCATAGAAAATCCTGCCAAATGTGAAGATGCCGAAGGAGTACTGCTAGTGAAGTTCATGGAGCGTGGTTTGACCATCAATTTAGAAGTCCACTGTGAAACGTTATGAAAACTCAGACAAGCCATCCATAACAAGTGTTGGGGCATGCTGACTTCTGGTGTGGTGTTTTGAAGCAGTTCCATTGGGATGTTTTTGATCACCACCACCCCCCAATAGCCCACATTTGGCACTGAGCGATTACTACTAAGGAATTTCCAACCTTGTAAGACGTTATGACAAGTGCCTCAATTTGAATGACGATTATGTTGAAAAGTAATATAGTGTTGTAGTTTTCTAATGTGTGTAATAAAAGTTCTGTATCTGCAAGTGTCATTGATAACCAAATGGAGGTTTACTTCCAAATTGCCCTCATATTAAGACAGATAGGAGATGTTGAAAATGTAACTATGAGATGGAATACAGATTTCATCCACACTGCAGTACTGTCCTGCATACAATATTTCACTTTCCTGCCCTATTTGGAACAAATGGCAACACAGGGTAGAAAACAAAGACACTTTCAAAGAATTATGGGATCATAAAGGAACTCCCAATTGACTATTCTGGCTAGTTAAGCAACTAAAGAAACCGAAGAAGCTATTTCTGCACTTTGTTTAGCACGATGTGTTACATGTGATCCAGAAATTGCCTCATTTCTCTTCTAACAGACTTAGAAGCCAAAAACAAAATACAGGTAATCCTCAACTTACAACCACAACTGAGCCCAAAATTTCTGTTGCTAAGTGAGATAGCTGTTAAGTGAATTTTGTCCCATTTTTATGACTTTTCTTGCTACAGTTGTTAAATGAATGATGCAATTGTTAAATTAGTAACAGGGTTGTTAAATGAGTCTGGTTTCCCAACTGATTTTGCATGTCAGAAGATCACAAAAGGTGATCACATGATCCCAGGACAGTGCAACTATCATAAATACAAATCAGCTGTCAAGCATCTGAATTTTGATCACATGACCAGGGGGTTGCAGCAATGATCATGAGCATGAAAAATGGTAATGAGTCACTTTTTTCAGTGCCACTCTAACTTTGAACAGTTATTAAATGAACTATTGTAAGTCAAGAGGACTACCTGTACGGCTTCCAGTTTGGGGCTGTCAAAATTTCTGGATCACAGTTGACACTGACAAATTGCGAGTTGGCAGGAAAATCTTGGAAGCAATGATAGAATGGTGAACACCATTACAATGCTCATGTATGATCTTTCAGGATTCTTCTGAACTCTATTTTGCAGGCAACATGACATGAAGAAAGAAAGAAAGAAAGAAAGAAAGAAAGAAAGAAAGAAAGAAAGAAAGAAAGAAAGAAAGAAAGAAAGAAAGAAACAGAGGGAAGGAGGGAGGAAGAAGGAAGGAAGGGAGAGAGAGAGGAAGGAAGGAAGGAAGGAAGGAAGGAAGGAAGGAAGGAAGGAAGGAAGGGAAAGAAAGAAAGAAAGAAAGAAAGAAAGAAAGAAAGAAAGAAAGAAAGAAAGAAAGAAAGAAAGAAAGATAGATCACTGAAATCTGTTTCTTTCTCTTCCCTAGCTGAGTCTGGAAAATGATTCCATCCAAACGTGATTTAATAATGAACGAAAGACCAAACTTGGGAACTCAGTCCATTAATTTTGGAGGAGAGGAGGTACCCAATATGAAGTTTAAAAACTCTCATTTTTGAACAACCATGTATCTAAGAATAAATTATTGTTTTTATTAATTACATTTTTATCTTATCCTACTCCAGAAGAGCAAAACATCCTGTATTACTGAACATCTAGGCAGTCGGCTGGTCCTATAAATAAAATTAATAAATCAAGTTATTTTCCTGCTCTATTTTGTATCCATAAAAATATTGGAAGATACTGAATCTGTGCAGATCTGAACCTGTGTCAGCCTGTTTGTAGTTCAACACTCAAGCCATTATCCTACAATAGAGGCTCCCATTGGTGGCACCTCTTCCCACTTCGATAACTAATGCCAGATTGAGTATATTCAGTCTAGAAGTTGATAGAAAGACAGAATTGTGTCACAGATGGGTAAAGAGCTGTTCTTCCATGTGTGTGCAGTGAAGATGTTTAGTATTGCTATGTAAAAAAGGTTGCTGCTGTATCTTTGAAAGTGAGTCAGTCTCTGGACAAATCTATATGTCCAGTTTACTCCAGTGTGAGCATAACCCATGCATCATTTACAGAGGGCGTATCATCCTCAATCCACTCCTATGTAACCTCCAGCCATGTTTTCTGGCTTTCTGTCAAAAACTGTTTTCCATCTGCATTGGTTCAGCCCATGCTGCCTGGTTTGCATGCTTTCAAAACCAAGACCCTTCTTCCCTTAGGGAAGATGTACTCTCAATCATTGTTTTTGTTGCTCACATTGTCATTTTCTTTAACAAGTTCACAGGTCAAAGGCTGAAAACTAGACTTGCTTCTTCTTCCTTTTTTTTCTTTCTTTCCTTCTTTCCTTCCTTCCTTCCTTCCTCCCTCCCTCCCTTCCCATTTATCAATGGAATTGAGCAAGTTTAAACTACCTTTGTTTTTGTTTGTTTTTAAAGTAGGCAAAATTCTGCCACTTTCCCCTTCTATCCAAGTAGTGATAAGAAAATGGTAAAACTTATTTTTTTTAGAATCCAATCTGGCCGGTCACTAGGACCAGAGGTTTTAGTCTTCTGAGCTTTTGGACTTGTGCTGGAGCCCATCGTCAGGGAATTTGTCTCTCACTAGAATGTGTTATTTTTTTTTACATGGTAGTGGTGGGGCTGGCCAAGGACAAAAGGGGACCCATCAATCAGAAGTTGTGGTAACAAACAATCCAAGTCAAATATTAAGCCATCATCATGGCCAGAGCAGTGCATGGGTATCTGGACAGGGTTGTCTTAATCCAGATTTATTTCTAGCCGAATTACAAATAGGACATAAGCAGTTAAAAGCTGCTGAAGTAAAACAAATTAAGAAAAAAAAGTCCTGAGTCTTGTGAATAAAATCTGTAAATGTTTTCTACATGATTAATTCTTTGAATATGTAATCCATATTATGACTCCACTTGCGGCCTATGGTTTGGTGTACAACCATAAAACACTTTCTCTGTTCTGAATTCTTGTTCATATTTTCTGGATTTACAGTCTGCAATAGTAATTATGGAGAACTTCTGTTACTGTCCATTGACCTACGAAGTCAAAGCACTATAGAAGTAGTTACAGTAAAGTATTTAACAGTAATTCTTGAACTATTAGATACATTTTGAAGTTAGTAATACAAAAACAGGGACATGCAAACTCTGAGCTAATGTAAGAAAAATGCAGAAGAAAGCCTTTCAATGCTTTAATGCAGAGTATAGAGCCAGAAAAAAAGGTCTTGCAGCTAGTCTTCATTTAGCAACAATATTTGGGGCCAGCAACTCAGTCATTAACCCATTAAGTGAAGTGGTCATTAGTAAAACTGTCACTGTGCTTATGATATTCAACCTTTCTTTGCTTTACAAATCTGCAAAGGTCATAAATGTGAGGACTGGTCATAAAGTTATTTTTTCATCACTGTTATTTCTGTGAACAGTTGCTTAATGAATAGCACCTGTACTACAATTTAGGACCATGTTGTAAGTGTCTTTGTTCATCTCGTCTCTATGGTCGAGTTCACTAATAGTTTACTAATATCACCTTTTAAATATTTTTTACCAATTATTTATATGCTGCCTCTCACCCAAAGCATTTCCAGGTATTTACAAAATTTAAAATACATTTAAATATAATTGAATACATGCATATAGAGATACATGAACTAAAATAGAGTAATTAACACATCATACAAAAGTTGTCTTGAGTCACTATCTTAATTTGGCTTTTCTGTGGCATTTCACTGTGGCCTGCTACTTAACTTTTAAAAAAATCTGATGAAAAATGCTAAACACAATCACAATGAAATGAGCAATGAAACTGAGGTAGTTATAAATTCAGAAGGATTCTCAAAGTTACAAACGAGAAACAAACTATGTAAGGGAGTTTTAGTGCTTGAAATATATATGAAACTGGCAAGAGGACAAAAAGACCTTCTAAAAGAGCTCTAAATTTCAGGTTTCATGTGGAGAAAATAGATGGAAAGACATACAGCCAATTAGAGCCTCTGTCAGAAATTATGACCAGGTGACCAATGAAGATTAGATATAATATGGAAATAGAAGGGCTTTCCTTTAAAAATATCACTTCCTCTTCTATCAGGGCAATAATAATAATAAAGAGGGGGAACGTGTTCTGCACTCCTTTCTATATTATAGTCATAAAACCCAAGCATTATCTTTTGGGTGATGTTCCTCCCCTTTCCACCCCTCCAGAACTACATGCAAGTATGCATGCATATAGAGAGAGGTGAAAAACAGAGACTGGGAATGTTTAAGATGGCTCCCTTAATGTGCAGCTGAGTAAAGGTAGCTGTCGGAAGTAGAGGGCATCTTTTACTGACCAAGAAACTATAATGAATCTCACTCGGAGATCTCTTGAGAGCAGTCCAGGGGGTGGAGAGCAGACAGCAGCTTCTCACAGCAACAAGACCAGGTTATTCAAGGAGCAGAGCACCCTTCTGGCCTGTTATCACTCCATACAAGAGCAAACATGGTCAGATCCACCCGACAATGGTTTCTCCTGAAATCATTTCATCACTTCTTCCTCCCTCCCACCCACCCCCACATTCCATTTATGTATTTATTTGTTTATTTGGCTATTTCTGGGCCAGGATGCCAGGAAAGAAGGCAGCAGACCCTCTTCTCCTTTGCAAGGGACCTCTGAAAGTGAAGCAGGTGGGCTCCCTGAGGGAGTCGCTCTTTTTTTGCCCTCCGGAACACACACACGCACGCACGCATACACTTTCTCAAAGCGCCTGTCAACCCAAGCAGGATGAATCACTTCCACGCAGCTCCGGGAGCCGGGGAGGGAGGTGAGGCAGCGGCGGCAGCAGCGTCTCCCTGAGTCTGTTTGCAAAGGCGAGGAATACACACGAGCGCCGTTGTGCCTCTTTTCCCTTGGCGCTTTGGCAAGCGGGAGAGGAGGCAGGAGAAAGGCAGCGCTCGCTTTCCTTCAGATCACCTCGCCGAGCCCTTTCGGTCATCCCGAGCGCTCAACAATATATATAGCGTGAGCCGGGGCCACCGCCGCCACCAAATGCCGAGGGAAATTGCCCTCTCTCATCCTCCCATCCTCAACGCAGCCTTGAGGCAAAAGGCAGACGTGCCAAATCAGTGCAAGACGCTCTGAGGAGGCGGCGGCGGGTTGAGGGCAGCGTCGCTTGTGGCGCGCCCAGCTTCGCCTCGGAAGCTTGCCATAACCCCTGACCTCCTCCCTCGATCCCTTGGCTTCCTTCCTCCGCTTTTAATCCTCCCCGCGACCCCCTTCTCTAATCCACCGCACTCCCGGTTTTCCCCAATCCGCCGCCACTTAATCCCGCACGGCGCGGAGGTGTTTGTTGCTTTCCAGCGGAGGAAGCGAACGGGCGCTCGGTCCGGCACCTCTCTTACCTTTAGGGAACTGCTGCTGTAGCAGCAGCTGTTGGGGCAGCATGGTCACTTTCTCGGGGGGCCTGAGGCGCGGGCGCTCCTTCCTCTTCTGCTCCTCCGAAGCGAGTGGGCGATGATGTTCCCTTCTCGCCCCAGCCCTTTCCTTGACCTGGCTCGCCCGCTATCCGGCGGTCCTCATGATGGTGGTGTGGGCTGCAAAAGGCGAAGGCTCGGGATCGCTGGGTCTACCACCACCGCCGCCGCCGCTGGGTCTTCCCCTCTGCCACCGCCGCCGCCTGCGAACCTCTTCGAGTTGGGGCCAACATGACACTCACATCCGGGTGACACGGGCGCCTTCCATCCCTAGCAACCCACCGCCCGTCGCTGCCGCCGCCGCTGAACCCTCAGTCCCCGGCTGCCGCCTCTCTCCTCCCGCAGCCGCTGCCTAGCTGCTTCCTGCACAGTCGCGGCCACGGGGTTAGCTCTCTTGCGCCTGCCGCTGCCGCCGTCGCTGCCGCCGCCACCTGCTGCTCGGGGAGGAGGAGGAGGAGGAGGAGGAGAAGCGCGAGGAGGCTGGCCAGGCGAGCCCGGCGGAGGGGAAAGACTTCTTCGTACGGCGGGCAGCCTCGCCACGAACTCCCAGCCCGACCCCGCAAATAGAAAAGTGCGCGTCGCGGCCTTAACCCCTTCCTTCCCGACGCCACTTCAATGCTTCGAAAGGAGCGACTTCAAGGCTGCCGTGAAGCCCCGCCCACGGGCATGCAAATGACTTCGACATGCAAATTCACCTGACCCTGAGTGCTCTGATGCAAAAAAGCTAAATGAATGAGCCTCCGGAGTCAGAAACCGACTATCTCCAGATGCTTGGAACATATACCAAGAACTTGTCTCGTTCTTGGTATATGTTTGTGAATTTCCAGCAGCTTATAACTGATACAGCGTGGGAATTCTTCGCCTTAGGTATAAGCGTACTCAGGGCATTTTTCTCATAGAACGTCCAGAACGGAGTTCCGGTACCTTTTTTGGATGGAACCTTGTAGGGTAGGCAAGGTGGATTGTATGGCGTGTATGAGTTCCGGCACCTTTTTTTTTTTTTTTTTTTTTTTAGAAAAAAAGCACTGAGCGTACTTTTCCCACAGGAGATCCATAATGTATTACCCTACGGTGTGTCTTTGCAACACCAGTTGCACAGCACGCAACTGTTAACAATGCAGGCCTATAGCATCTATACTGGTGTTTCTTGGATTTCTTAGGCACTTTTTTATTTGCACAGTTCCTATTCTGTGGCAATTTTGTGAACTATTTTAATAATGCATTGAAGTAAGTAAATAATTTTCTCATTGTGGGAAAATAGAGTGGAGTTTGAAAAGAACAGAAACCATGAACCACAATACAGACCTATTGCTGTTTCAAGTTATTTTTAAAACTGGGTACATTTGTATAACTATGCAGGTATTTATGGTTAAAAATAACAATGATGTAGTTACATTGTAAGGCTACAGTGAAAGATAGCCTGACTTGCAAACCCTTTGCGTGTATGTGTACACACACAAATACACACTCACATGCACATACATGCACAGTGGAAAAAAGTTATAAAATTACTCTACCCATAAATGTTGTATTTTTGTTGGATTGGAACATATAATTTAATAGTACAGCAGAATATCAATGTACCCTTTATACTAGACTATGGAGGGAAATGAAAAAAAACATTTGGAGTACTAGTTGAAAAAATATACCCTTTGCCACATAGATGAGCCATAATAACAAATGTTGTGAACCAGTTTGAGATGATTGCAAGCAAATCATCTGATACCAGAGCAGCCCAGCCCCTGAGGGTGATTGGGTGTTTGCACGTAGCCAGATCTGGATCACTGACTATCTGTGTCCTCTTCCTGCTTAACATAAGCCACCCTTGATATTCTTCACTGTGTCTTTCCAGTTGCTTTGCCTAATTTGCTTTTTCTTCCTGCGTACAGCACCATCACATGACCCTGAAACTAAGTCTTCCACATCCTGCATGACTGTGTTTCATTCCTGGATTGAGAGGATCATACAGACCCTCATTTGCCATAGAAAAAAAAGCAAGCACAACTGCTGGGGCCAAGTTCTTTATTCCTCTGCCATTTCCACATATCCAGAAAATATTTTCAATAATATAGTGCTTTTTTATAAATCTCTATAGGGTTCTTCAATTCTGAAGACATCTCTGAAAAAGATACAGATGTCAATTAAAGATGGGCTTCTAGTTTTCCAAACATTGAATTGCACCATATATTTTCTGATTAGCATCAGATTCTGGAAATCTTCACTTAGTGGATATTCTCCTTTCAGAAACCTCTTGGAAATCTGTATATACACCTTTAATTAATTGTATTTCCTGTTACTATTATGGCAGCTTGAAAATGGTGGAATATTCCTTCTGGAAAAATGTGTTTTGATTGTTTTTCTCATGCTATATTGATGCTATAGGATAAGCTAAACTTCAAAACTGATTTTAAAAAACTGGCTTTAGGAAGTGCTGGATGGATGCTATAATTTTATATTAGATCAACTAGTGGATGATAATAATGACTGTTATTATTTCCTATGTTAAAAGATAAATACCATTTGTCAGTTACCACCCACTGGCAGTATTTACAATTACAACATTTATTTATATCTCAATAAATGTACCAGTGGCATTTATAGCCTCAGGGACTCTTAAGGTATTAAAAACTATTATTTCATATGAGACCAAATGGCCTACAATCATTCTTCATAAATATCTGTTGTCAATACATCAATTTAATATGCAATTTTTAAAGATTGAATGGAATAAGGAACTGGAAATCTCCATTTTGTGTAAACAATAGGAAAACATTTTAACCTCAAAGCCAAAAAGCTTAGTAGATCTCAGATTATGGCTGTCACAAAAAAAGGGAGGCTTCCATTATTTTCATACAGAAAAGGGATTAATAAATCATCACGTTGTTAAAGATGCAACCCGTGTAACAGTTTACTAAAACGTGTGTTTTATAGATACATGAAGTTATTGTATTCTAAGAAGTAATTCAATATATTAATTTGACTTCAAAAGTAAGTTTAATATTTTCAGACCCATTCATTATTTTGAACTATGTGCCTACTACATGGAAATCAACAGCTGAACAATGAGAATGTATTCTTCATAACCTGAATACTGGTATATGATACTGGTATGTATGTATGTATGTATGTATCTATCTATCTATCTATCTATCTATCTATCTATCTATCTATCTATCTATCTAGTGGTGGCTCAGTGGTTAGAATGAAGTATTGCAGGCTAATTCTGCTGACTGCAGACTGCCAGCAGTTTGCAGTTGGATGCTGATTGGTTCAAGGTTGACTTAGCCTTCCATCCTTCTGAGGTCGATAAAATGAGGACCCAATTTGTTGGGGGAAATATGGTGACTCTGTAAACCACTTAGAGAAGGCTGTAAAGTACTATGCTATTGCTATTCCACTCATTTCGCCAAAGGTAACTAGGCGAATTTTAACAGGAAAAACAAATTTATGGCCTCAATTGCCCAGTGGATTAAAGACCTGATATTTCTTGTAACTCATGAACATGTTGCTCATAAATACAGAGTATCTATGGATAATTACCAAATTATTTTGTAGGTGAAATTTAATTTCATGTAAATTTGTTGTATATACAATTTGATTTTTTTTTCTCCTTTTTATATTGTTTTAAATTTTTACTTCTTTTTTTCTTTTTAGTTTTTTTTTTTAAATAGAATTAATCTGCTATGGCTGATATGACACAAGTGTGAGACCAAATGGGGACATGCATCAAAGGAAAGTTCTGCATTGGACTTCTCAGGGCAAGGAGAGATGTGGGATGGGGAAGTATAGCACGCGAAGCAAAAATGGGGATAGGGATCTAGAATACTCCCTGAGATAAGCCATAGAAGCGTTGGAAACACAAGGTTTTGCAGAGAATGGGATGCTTTGGAGAAAAGGGATTCCTGCACTGAATACAAACTACCACTTATTGGCCATTATCACAACTTCTCTTCTTTCCCCTTCTTGGTCTCCCATTTTTGGTTGGAAGAGTAGTCAGTGAAACATGGTGCTGCTTGAGGAAGCTTGGTCGATGTTGCCTTGTGTTGCCTTAAGCCAATGGTGGGATTCAAATATGTGAACAACCGGTTCTCTGTGTGGATGCCACTTCCAGAAGTCCATTCTGGGCCTGGGCAACAAAAAAATTAGCTACTGGTTCTGCCGAACTGGTGCGAACTGGCTGAATCCCACCACTGCCTTAAGCATTCCTTCTGTCGACAGGGTAGCCCTCTCTTCTCCATGCATCTTAAATGGCTTAGAATGAGCTTAGTTATGCCACTATCCTATCCAGTCAACAAGATGAGAGTCAGGGGGTTGTGGGGGGGGGGGAAACCAACCTTTTCCTCACATGGGTGAAGCTCAAACATGTGGACTCTGTTTTCGTCTCTAAAATTGAGTAGTTCTGCCTTATCACTTAAAAATGCACAAATTGCCTCTTTCATTGCCTGTACAAAGCGATCTGAATCCACAAATGTCTTCTACAGTCTCTTAATACTACTGAATCACTGCTGTTTAGGCCACTAGTCCTTTCTGTTTTCTTCTAAAAGGCCCACTAATTTTAGCTAGGTAAATACGGCATGCACAATCACAATGCCGTAATTATGATAGCTCCAATTCTGCGTTTTTCTTCTCTTCGTATAAGCGAAGACATTTTATAATAGTTCTCCCTTGCATTAGCAATCCTTTCCCCATAATCTACACCAGAGGTCCCCAACCTTTTGGGCAACAGAGACCGGTTCTATGGAGAGAGGTTTTTCCACGGACCAGAGGGTGCATGGTTTTGTGTGCTGCCTGCATCTCGCGGATGGGGCTTTGTTTGTTTGTGCAGACTGGTTGCTGGCATGCTGCAGCTCGGTACTGGTCCACAGACTGGGGGTTGGAGACTCCTGCTCTACACCAGTGTTTCCCAAACTTGGCAACTTTTAAAATGTGTGGGCTTTAACTCCCAGAATTCTGCAGGCAGCCTTGCTGGCTGGGAAATTCTAAGAGCTGAAGTCCATACATCTTAAAAGTTGCCAAGTTTGAGCAGCGCTGACGTACACCATCAAGAACCCAGTTCACAGAAGGAGACTTCTAGGCGATATAGGGGACATGCCTTTCCCCAAAGAGAAGTCAAGATTCAAACCAAGGTTCTTAAAAATCGTTACACTGTATTACATTTACAATTCAAGCAAATATAGTCTACATCCAAAAACAGAATGTGTTTGTTTACTGTTTACCATGGCTTTGCAAAAATCATCATCATGACCATGGTCAAATGGGACCTAGAAGATATTAATTGAACTGTTCTAATGAACAAAGTTTGATACACTAATTCATCCTGAAAAACTAGTTTGGCAGACAGTGATATCTACTTACTAATATTTTGTTTCAACAACCATCCTCAATTGTGGGGAACAATGTGTGTTCCATAGATATGGTTTGTCTATTTTTAGTAGCCAGTGGGGTGAATAACAAGCTTTGCAGGATACCCAGAGCCAACAAATTAACAGTCTTTTTTGTTTGCTAAGTTCTTCATCTAATGTGGTTTCATACCCAATGAAACAATTCATTTATGTTTACATTAAAGCATGGTAGATTAAAGATTCCACATCAGTGCCATGAATAACAATAAATAAAAAAATGTAAGTGATAATTACATTAATCCAAATATTTAATGAAAGTATGCCATGGGTTGCCTCAAAAGTGCTCTTTTAGAGCTCACTTAAAGGAGAATTAATTTTAAGTTTGACTCATTAACAAAGGATGGAGCAAAATACTTTAACGGTGGAATTTTTAATGGATATATTTGAAGACTGG